AACAGAAAAAAAAAGGCTTTAATGGAAAAACTGAAATTCAAATAAGGCCCTTAGTTGTGTTACTAGTTACCAAGGTTAATTTCCTGCTTTTGATGGTTATACAATGGTTCTGCGAGATGCTAATATTACGGGAAGCTGGGGGAAGGATTATATGGGTATCTCAGTCCAATTTTTGCAGCTTTTCTGGAGGTCTAAAATAATTTCAAAATAAAAAGTTTTTTTAAAACTGCCTCATGAAATAAGCATTCATTTTCTCCACCTACAAGGCACCTTCTAGAATGAAGAATGGGAGAGGAAAATATTAAATTGGGGGGGCACTTGAGAAAGATTCCCAGAAACTTGCCTGCATCCACGGGATGGTGGTACCACCCCCCGTAGTCCCACTTTCTATCAAAAAGCCCTGAGCTAGAATGTGAACTCCGTGAGGCAAGGATCTGTATCTGTGTGGTAGCCAGTTTCCACAGAAGGCCTTCGATCAACTCCTGGCCAGGATTCACCCGCCATGTGAGCCTTGCCATTAGAGTCTGGTCTTGGCCGGGAGACTTGCTTTGACCAATAGCGTGAGACAGAAGACACAGTATCTTCTGAGGCTGTCCTTAAAACATCTACAGTGTCTGTTTTCTGTGCACTTGGGAGACTCCCTCCTGCAACGTGGGTGCCACCTGGAGAAGCCACCAGGAGGAAACGAGGTGGGCCCCAGCCCGGCTGAGCCATGCTAGTAAACTATTTTGGGTGTTTAGAGTCTATATGTTCAATATCTGTAATGATCTTTAATGAAAAGGAATATGAAAACGAATATATGTATGTATATGCATGACTGGGACATTGTGCTGTACGCCAGAAATTGACACATTCTAATTGACTGTACTTCAATTAAAAAAAAAAAGAACTGACAACATTCAGAAAAAAAAAAGTCTAGTTAAGCATCCAGATGACAGCAGCCCCAGCTGTCATCACACAGAGCAGAAGAACCACCCAGCTGAGCCCACTAAACCCAGGATCACGCCTAAGGGAGTGCTGTTGCTTCAAGCCATCAAGTTTCAGGGTGCTTTGTCATACAGCAATAGACAACCCAAACAGTCGGCCTTTTTCAGGCTGTAGTCCCAACACCTAACGCATTGAATACAGCAAATGACAGCCTTGTCTGTCGGCTTAGCACCCAACACATTTATAACAATCCTAGGAGCTGGATAATGGTCTTATCCTGAGTTAATAGATGTATTAGGTTTCCGGGACTGCCATAATGAAATACCAGACTGGGTGGCTTAGACATAAGAAATTTGTTTTCTCACAAGAGGCTGGAAGTCCAAGATCAATGTGGCAGCAAGTTTGGTTTCCTCTGAGGCCTCTCTCCCTGGCTTACAGATGGCCACCTTCTCGGTGTGTCCTCGCTTGGTCTCTCCTCTGCACGTGCCTGGTGTTTCTCTTCGTGTGTCCAAACTTCTTCTTCTTAGTGGACATCAGATTGGATTAGGTCCCTCCCTAATGGCTTTATTTAACCTAATCTCCTCTTTAAAAGCTCTGTCTCCAAATAGGGTCACATTCTGAGGTATTGGGGATTAGTTTTTCAATACATAAATTTTTTTTTTAATTTCAATTGTGTGCACATTTTTTAAAAATTAAAAAAAAATTTCCCTTTTAAGGGAGCCACTGGGGATTGAACCCAGTACCTCGTACACACCAAGCAGGCACTCTACCACTGAGCTATACCCTCCATCCCCCTTCAATACATGAATTTTGAGAAGACACAAATCAGTCAATACTAGATAAGGAAATTAATGCACAGGGAAGTTAAGCAATTTTCCCAAAGTCACACAGTTCAGAGGTGGCAAATCTCAGACATGAACCCAGGCAGGCTGGCTCCAGAGGCCACGCTTTTAACCACTAAGCTCTACCACCTTGTGAAGCAGGAACTGAATTGCACTCACTCTCCCTCTGGGCTAGAAGGGGGCAAGGACTTGGCCAAAGCTAAGCAAGCAGAGACCCAGAGGCCTTCCGACAAGGATGAGCCCCCCCCCACCCCGAGAGCAGCCTGTGCCCTTGACTGAGCTCCTTGGTGTAGGGGGTCTGGTAAGCTGAATTACCACCCCCTCCTCCAGTGATCTCCAGGTCTTGATCCTTGGAACCTGTGAGAGTTACCTTATATGGCAAAAGGGATTTTGAGGCTCTGATTAAATTAAGGATCTTGACTGAAATAAAAAGGTGCTTATTGGGGGTTTGTTAGGACTGCGGCCCAGGAGACTCGGATCCAAGAAGTACTTGATTCAGTATTTTGTAATAACCTCTCATGAAAAAGAATATGCCTCATAAAACAAACAAATTTTAAAAAAAAAAGCAAAAAAGGAGGAGGTATAGCTCAAGTGGTAGAGCACATGCTTAGCATGCATGGGGGCCTAGGTTCAATTCCCAGTACCTCCTCTAAATATATAAATAAATAAACCTAATTACCTCCCCCTCATAAAACAAAACAAAAAAGAAAAGAAAAGAAAAAGAATATGAAGACCAAAAAAAGCTTAATGAGGAAAAAACAGATTTAGATTAAAAAAAAGAAGTACTTGAATTGTCTCCTGCCAGTCTACAAAATGGAGGGAGCTTATAAAGGCAAAAACTACAAAGTTATCATTAGTTACATGATCTATTTCTCAAGAATTACAACTGGAGCTGGCCAGAAGTAAGGGTGCTTGTTAAGTAAGGATTGGTTGGGGTCTGAAATGGTTGCATAGTGCAAAGAAGAGAACTTGAGACCATAAGGTTGCAACTGGCAGGTGTTGTTCTGTCTATGGCTGATGGTGTCCTTGGATCTGGTACAGTTCAAAGAAAGTTCAAGGTCCCAGTGGTGCAGAGACATAGAGACCAGATCCTCAACGGCTGCTTAACTCCATTTTTGTACACCGGAACTGTGATTGTAATAGGGAAGAACAAATCTGACTCCCTATTAGATCTGTTCCTTTGGATCTAACCCTGTGCTTAATCATGCTGGTTCTGCATTTTTGTAAAAGAATGTTGTCTGTAGCCTGAAATATAGATAGCCTAGTCTCAAGGCTCCCACCTTTAAGGGTGTAACACTTTCTTGTTCATATAAAGATAAAAAGTTGCAGAATAGAAAATAACATTTGTCTTGTTGGAGGTTTACAGAGACATCATGACCTGATCTATGTGACAGCTGCAAAATCAAAGGATTGTGACACCAAGAAGCTTGCAATAACCCACCACACTCCCTCCCCTTTTTAGTATAAAAGGAGTCTAAATTCGGACTTGGGGAAGATAGTTCTCCAGGACATTAGTCCTCCATCTTCTTGATCTGCTGGCTTTCCAAATAAAGTCACTATTCCTTCCTCCAACACCTAGTCTTCCAATTTACGTGGCAAGCAGAATGGAGTTTGGACTCGGTAACATGATCACTCCAATATAATTTCAACTTATCACCACTTCCTACTGATTTATTGGCCTGTCATGTGGCAAGCAGAACGGAGTTTGGACTCGGTAACATGATCAATCCATTATAACTTCAACTTGTCACCACTCCTGACTGGGCTTACCACCCAGCTCCTGCTCCCCTCTGCTCTTCATCTAGTAGCTGATAAGATCATTTCAAAATGCACATCTGATTGTGTAATTTACTGCTTAAAGTCTTTCCATGATTCCTGGCTGTTCTCAGGAGAAATGAACAAAACTCTTATGGGGGACCCCAGCCTGGTCTGGCCCCTGCCGACTGCTCTGTCGTATTTCATTCCCTGTGCCCTTGGCTCTTTGTACTTAGCAGCCAAGCCTCTGCCTCAGGACCTTTGTCCTTGCTGTTCCTCTGCCTGGGACACCTACCCTCATTTCTTCTTTACATAATGAAATATTTAAGGTGTGCAAATGTTACAATGAACATTACAATTAACAACTCTGTCTAGACCATCTCGTCCAAAAGCAAAAAGTCATCAATTTAGGTGAAACCTGCTAATTACTCCTCCTGATAGCACCCTTCTTGTCCACCAGAAACAACCAAAATCGCATTTCAGGGGTATTTATTGCTACTGCTTTCCATTAAATTTATAGGGCACATGCTTACAAACCCAGCAATCCACACCAGTCATTTGTTTGTCATTTAACCTTAGATGAAGGCTACCATCTTGAATGGATTCTCCTGCAGCTTGCTGTGGTCTTCTGATGTTACACAGTGGGGATTCACCCATGTTTATACTTCTATCTTTAGTTAATTCACTTTCACTGCTGTTTAACATTCCATCCAATCAATCGATCAAAATTTATGTCTTCATTCTCTTGTTAATGACACAATTACCAATGTTTCTATGAACAAAGAGCATGCGCTGGGCTGTGGGGTAGGTCCACCATCAGCTGCCCCAGGCATTGCTGAACTGTCTTCCAGGAAATTATGTCAATGTACATTCTCACCCACAGGGTGTAAAAGTTCCCTGGTTTCACCTCCACACCAACAATCGGTATTGTTAGACTTTTTAAATGTTGCCAATCTGACAGGTGTAAAATGCTGTCTCACTGTGGTTTTAATTTTATTTCCTGCCATTTAAAACTACCCTGATGTGAGTGAAAAACAGTGCCAGCCTTATCAGTAAACAAAGGCTGCTGTGGCCATCAAGTCATCAGCCACTACCGCCACCCCCAACGGTGAGCAGAGGGAACTCAGGATGCAGACAAGCAGGCAGCCCAGCCTCTGCAGCCACCCCCAACCATGTCCCCTAAGGGAACTCAGGATGTGGAAGAATTGGCCCTAGACAGCTAGGTGCATATCAAGAAAATTATTTCAATGAACCCAGATCTTTGCACCTTCCCATACATAGAAAAGCGCTAAATTCCTTGATATATCTGATTTTCTTTAATTAACAGTAATCTTCCGATGTTCTGACTACCTGGTCTTTGTGGCAAAACTTTTACATATCCTGGCTCCCTCCTTGCCTCTATGAACAGAGCAATCTGAGAGGCTGCCTCCTGGGTTCGAGTCCTCAGAAAGCCACCAAATAAAACATGAATCTCAATTTTTAGGTTGTGCATTTTATTTCAGTCAACACCGAGTACCATTTTTCACCTCTCAGATTGGCAAAGATAAGACCCATGGCTGATGCTGGGTTTGCCATTGGAAGGAAGCCGTCACTTCCACAGGGAGTTGGGGGTGGGGGTGTAAACCGACCGGGCTCAAGGCACTGCAACAGCCAACCCTAATAGGAAGTTTCTTTCTCCATTTTTCTGTTTTAGGTCAGGTAGAGAAAGAGTGTACATTCATTCTCTCAATCCTCCCATTTGCAGAATGTAATCCTCCCACCCCACCCCAGGCCAAATAACCTCTTATTTCCCCTCCACTCAGCCCCAGGATGAATTCCCAGGCTTCTTCCAGAACACAGGCAGTGCGGCTGCCTCCTCTGCAGTTGGGAGAGGCTATCCAGTGAGTCTGCTGAGTCAGCCACACAGCACTCTTCCCCACTTCCCCATCCTGGGGGCTCAGATCTCGGCTTCCGGTTGGGATAATAAGAGAGTGGGGTAGGGGAATGCACGTGAATGGGACTTAGGGACTAGGGCTGGGAGGGGAAGATGGAGCAGGTGAGAAGAAAGGAGCTAACCCCAGGCCCTGAGCCCCAGAAATCCAAGTCCTTTAAGCGCTGAAGGGCCAACATGATGAACAGACACAATGCACGTGGTCCTTATCTGCAAAGTGGTGTCATCTTGTGCCCCAAGTTCCAGGGCAAGTCTGTTTTGGGCCTTGAGTGTCACAGGGGTCTCAGCCTGGAGAGTCAGGAGGAGGCTCATCTTGTCTCTGGAGCTTGGCCTGGAGGTGGGGAGGACACACCAACTCAGGTCTGGAGGAGATGTCACCTTGGACCTGGAGAGCTGGGAGGGGGACCCCCTTGGGATCAGGAGGGGACCTCATCTTGATGAAAGAAACCATAGAGGGTCCCTGCAGCCCAGGATCAGATAGGTATTTTAAGCAGGATGGGAGAAGCAAAAAGCAGCAGCACCAAACCTAAGGGTACAGCCGGGCCTAGGAAACAAGATCAGGCCAAGGAGGTGGAACTAAGCACAAGGAACCAGGAGATAGCAGAGCAAGGACTAGAAGGAGGGGATGGAATCAGGGCCAAGCCTTGGGAGCAGAAAAAGGGCCTAGACTAGGGGGACAAAATTCCAGAACTGGAGCCAAAGGAGTAAAGGAAGACATCAGGGATCCCCGCTAGATTCTGGGGATCCTGGGGGGAGAAAGAAGCAAGACCAGCCCAACTGAGAAACCAAACTGAGGCAGAGACAAAGTAAAGGTGATGCCCAGTGAGTCCCCAAGATGGAGACACATCAAGGAGATGCTAGTTACCCAAGAGCTGGAGCCAAGCTTCAGACACAGGCATAGCACCAGGCAGCAAGAGCCAGGACCAGGGGGAGGAACCTGATGCTAAGGCCCAGCGGGGCTGCACACCATTACACCCACCCAGCCATCCACACACAGACACAGACACTCAGTATTGTTCACGGAGCGGGGTTAGCCCTGAGGGTAACAGCATGATGAGAGGGGCACAGAGCCTACCCCCAGGACATAGTCAGGAGGGAGAGTGGGTCATGGCTAGGCCAGCGGTCCCGGCTCTCGCTCCGGCTCGGTTCCCGGCACGCCGCGGATGTCGGGCAGCAGGCGGCAGCCAGCCACGATATCCAGGCGTTCGGCCAGAGCGCACAGGTCCCCCCGCGCCAGGCGCACGCTGTGGGCCGCCGCCAATCCTGCCGCTTGGGC